GACAAGCTGCATTGCAATCAGCAAGCAAAGAGAATACTTCAGAAGCATCTCCTTCTAGTTCCACCTTCTTAAATCCAACTCGGTTCATTTTTAAATCACAGATAGCTCAAGCTTGATTAGACTCAAATTGAAAATTTAATAAATTTATTCTTTTAGTATTCTTATTAAAAATGTGTTTAAATAAATAAAAAGTAAATTATATATATATGGAAAAATATTTGTCCTTTTAAAGGATATAACCTTGTGTCATTTTAGATCCTAACTGTTGATTTTCATCCATCATCGGTTATAATTTATTGGATCAAAATTATTAATTAATTAATAATAAGTTTGGCCCATTAAGTTTGACCTAATAAATTATAACCGTTGATTAACAGAAATCAATGGTTAAGATCTAAAATGACATAAGTTTATATCCTTTAAAAGGATAAATATTTTCCCCATATATATATATATATATATATATATATATATATATATATATATATATATATATATATATATATAAGATCATTTGACACCAAATCCTAACCGTTGATTTCTGTCAATTAGATGAGAATTAATTAATAAGTGTGACACACAAAAAAATTAAAATATTACTATTTTAATAAATAATTACGAATAGGTTGCAATTTAGATACTATTTTCGAATTTATTGTAGTCATTCACGCCCAAATTAGGCGTGACTATTCACGCCCAAGTTAGGCGTGACTCCCAAGGCATTCACGCCTAAATTAGGCGTGACTCGTCTGGTGTTGACACGTGACACAAAAATTAATAGTTTAACCGTAAAACTTTAAAAAGTCATAACTTTTGACTCGGGTATCCGAATGAGGTAATTCTTTTTTTGATTCCACATAACTTTTCGAGATCTACACAATGACATCTCATTTGATATATTTTATCTCTCACAAACACAATTCAAATTTGCAACAATGATACTATAAAGATGGTATCAAAGTGGATTAACTCATCTATAAATAAGATGACACCAAATTTCCTATTAAATCAGTGTTTAAAAACCCGGCCCGGTCATTGACCCGGCCGAGGTCAGGGGTCAGGAGTAACGGGTTCAACCGGGGGGTCACGGAGTCACTACGCTGACTCGATTTTATATATTAAAAAAATATAAATATATATATCCTATATGAAAATATTAAAAAGCAAATCACCAATCATCAAAGATTCAAAATATCCTTAACATAATTCACAAATTATAACCGCAAGTCAATATTACACAACCTAATTAAAGTATCAAGATACCAAAGTACAGAATTCATATTCTAATGATACCAAATTATCAAGATATCACAAGTCTAGATCGTTTGGAGAGAAGAGAACGATTAGATTTAGGTTTGCAAGCATTTTTATTTTTATTTTTTAATAAAACGACGTTGTTTCATGGAATTTTCTTTTAAAAAAAAAAACATGCAATGACTCCCCTTTGACCCCTCTGACCCGGGAGTCACTGAAACTCGGTCAGGTTTTGGGGGTCGGAGGGGTCGATGTGCATATAGGGTCCAACTTGTGACCCCAACCCTCAGAGGGGAGGGGTCAGGGTTGACCCGGGTCAACCCGGGAGGTGGGGTGGGGTTTTAAAACACTGTATTAAATACAAAACGCAATCAGTTCCTATTAAATACAAAATGCAATCAACTCCTATAACATTAAATTCAAAATTCAAAAAACCTCCAGCAAATTTATTTGAATTGGCGACAATCTGTAACCAACTCATAAAATTATAACGTAATCAGCTCCTATTAAATACAAAACACAATCAACTCCTATTAAATACAAAATGCAATCAACTTATTGGAGGTTATTTGAATTTTAAATTTTGAATTTAATGTTATAGTACCATTATTAGGCTTGAATGAGTGCAATATATTCGTAATTAAGTTCAAAATGGCAACTTATTCATTTTTCTTATTAATAATAATTTTTAAAAATTTTGTTGGTAATACACTATATAATACAATTATTGCAAAATTGAATTGTGTTTGTGAGAGATAAAATATATCAAATGATATGTCATTGCTTAGATCTCAAAAAGTTATGTGGAATCAAAAAAAGAATTACCTCATTTGGATACCCGAGTCAAAAGTTATGGCTTTCCAAAGTTTTATGGTTCGTAAGTTGACTTTTTTTGCCATGTGTCAAGACCAGATGATTCACGCCTAAATTAGGCGTGAATGCCTTGGGTGTCACGCCTAATTTAGGCATGAATAGTCACGCCTAATTTGGACGTGAATGAGTGCAATAGATCCGTAGATAGTTTCGAAACAACTATGTATTCGTAATTATTTATTAAAATAGTAATATTTTAATTTTTTTTGCCCACAATAAATTATAACTGTTCGATTCACCGAAATCAACGATTAAGATTTAGTATCAAAGGATCCTGCATATATATATATGTGGAAAAAATATTTCTACAGTCACTTTAGATAAGGTTATAAACAAAAAAATTGGAATTGTAGGGTTTTTTTTAACACAAAATATTTTTGTCACTTCAACCTTTGAACTGGAAAGAACAAACCAAAAAATTATATGATTCAACCCCAAACTCGTTTGAATGTAGTGGATGATAGTGGAGCCCGTGAATTGATGTGTATTCGAATTATAGGAACTAGTAATAGACGATATGCTTCTATTGGTGATATTGTTGGTGCTGTAGTAAAGGAAGCAATACCAAATACGTCCTTAGAAAGATCAGAAGTGATCAGAGCTGTAATTGTACATACTTGTAAAGAACTCAAACACAGTAACGGTATGATATATAATACACTACGATGATAATGTTGCGGTTGTTATTGACCAAGAGGGAAATCCCAAAGGAACTCGAATTTTTTGTGCAATCACCCACGAATTGAGACAGTTAAATTTCACTAAAACAGTTTCACTAGAACCCGAAGTATTATAAAAAATGAGACCATGATAGATATATATATCTATATTAATATCATTTAATATTTCATAAAAACCAAATAAAAAAAGGAATAAGAAAAAACATAGAGAAAAAAACATGTTGATTATATGAAAAGTCAAGGGCAACCATAATTTTCATTTATCATGGGCAAGGATATCATCGCAGACATAATAACCTCTATACAAAACGCTGACATGAATAAAAAAGGAATGGTTCAAATACCATTTACTAACATTACCGAAAACACTATGAAAATACTTTTAGGGGGGTTTGTTGAAAACGTCAGAAAACATAGGGAAAGCAACAAATATTTTTTAGTTTTAACTCTACAATATAGAAGAAATAGGAAAGGGTCATATAAAACTATTTTAAATTTAAAACGAATCAGTACACCCAGTCTACGAATCTATTTGAATTATCAACGAATTCATAGAATTTTAGGAGGGATCGGGATTGTAATCCTTTCTACTTCTATGGGTATAATGACAGATCAAGAGGCTCGATTAGAAAGAATCGGCGGAGAAATTTTATGTTATATATGGTAATTTTTTTGACATACGAATTATACGAGAACCTTCTATTCATTTTTTTAAGGAGGGGGGTACAATTCGAAATTCAAAATGGAAAAATGTAATAAATAAACCTTATTTTCTTCCAATAAATAGATTTGCGATTAAGTAAAGGAATGATAAATATGAAAATAAGGGCCTCTGCTCGTAAAATTTGTGAAAAATGTCGATTGATCCGCAGGCGGGGACACATTATAGTAATTTGTTAAAATCCGAGACATAAACAAAGACAAGGATAATATTTCCACAAAAAAAAACTTTTTATTTTTAAAAACCAGATGCATAGATAAAATAAATTTAGATTAAAGAAAAAATAGTATAATTTCAATATGAAATCATAAAAAATATGGCTAAACCTATACCAAAAATTGGTTCGTGTAAAAATGGACGTATTGGTTCGTGTAAGCATGCTCGTAAAATACCAAAGGAAGTTATTCATGTTCAAGCTAGTTTAAACAATACCATTGTGACTGTTACAGATGATCGGGGTCAGGTGATTTATTGGTCCTCCGCCGGTACTTGTGGATTCAAAGGTACACGGAGGGGAATGCCATTTGCAGCTCAAATTGCAGCAGGAAATGCTATTAGAATAGTAGCGGATCAAGATATGCAACGAGCAGAAGTCATGATAAAAGGTCCCGATCTCGGAAGAGATGCGGCATTAAGAGCTATTCGTAGAAGTGGTATAGTCTTAAATTTTATACGGAATGTAACCCCTATGCCACATAATGGATGTAGATCTCAAAAAAAAAAAAAAAAAAAGACGTGTGTAAAACTAAAAATAAAAATCGAAGAGATTTCAAATTCAAGAGAAATTTTTTTTTAAAGGGTTGATGATAAGAAAATATATTACTATGGTTTGAGAGAAAGTAAAAGTATCTACTCGGACACTACAGTGGAAGCGTGTTGAATCAAGAGTAGATAGTAAGTGTCTTTATTATGGACGTTTTATTCTTTCTCCACTTATGAAAGACCAAGCCGATACAATAGGCATTGCAATGTGAAGAGTTTTGCTCGGAGAAATAGAGGGGACGTGTATCACAAGTGCAAAATCTGAAAAGATACCACATGAATATTCTACCATAGCGAGTATTCAAGAATCAGTACATGACATTTTAATGAATTTGAAAGAAATTGTATTGAAAAGTCATCTGTATGGAACTCGGGACGCGTCTATTTGTTTCAAGGGTGCTGGATATGTAACTGCTCAAGACATCATTTTACCACTTTCTGTAGAACTCGTTGATAATACATAACATATAGCTAATATAACAGAACCAATCCATTTGTATATTGGATTAAAAATTGATAGGAATCGTGGATATCGTATAAAAACATTTAAAAACTTTCAAGACGGAAGTTATACTATTGGATAAGATTAAGAAGCCTTTATCTTTATCTTAGTTATTGATTTTGGCACATTTAACAATTATAATATATTTAAAAATAATAATTAAATAATAGACCGAAAATCTAAAATCTTTTATCATAACTAAGTGCAAACTTAATGGTGGCTTCACTGGCTTGCGATAGCTGCTTGGAATAACATTTGGGGACAATTGCTTTACCAATATTTGGATGCTCAACAACAGGAATTAAAGAGAACAGAAATTACATAAAATAGGAACAATAATTATGTGTAGTAGCTTTTCGTTAAACTTTTTGACTCTCCTTTTGTTCTTGTTGTAGCTGAATGTCTTCCCATGTTCTGTTGTTGTGCTCTGTCTGGTCACAAGCATTAGCAACTTGGTCCTACTGCTTCTCAGGTTGCTGAACTTGCTTTTCTCCAATCTCGATATCAACGGGTTGAGGAATCACTTCCTGATTCACATTAGTCACTGTTGTATTGACGTTTTCATCATTAATATCTCTTTTCTGTTCTGGCAGCTTCTGATCGCTTACGGGCTTGTTTTTTCTATATATTGCATAGAGCACCATTTGAATTGTTCCAAACGCAATACCCACTATGTTTGGAAGCTGTCCAGAAAAAAGGAAAAAGGAAAATTATATATTATTATTTATCGATCCATATAGACATAAAAACCAATCAAAATAGCATGTCCCAGAATCAAAATGATTTGTCATTTGTCATGGAGTACTTACTGTAACAAAGATATCTCTCAGAAGAATACCGTATGCCATCCACGTAATTGCACTTACTGTGAGGAGAAATGAAAGAGTAAAAGGCATGAACTCTACACTTTTGGTGCGAATAACCACTCTCTGAAATGGAACAGGATTAACCATGCATGCATGGTGATTAATGGTGAGTATATATCAACCTATAACAGATGACAAGAGGTATTCAGCTAATTGTGTCAAGTAATAATTAATCTTATAATTATATACTCACAATAATGCTTAAAGGTGCTGCAAAAACACTGGTAGAAAGTACTACACAAATCCATCCAAGAAGCTCGACACGGGCTGTTCGTTCTTTTGCTAGAACGTGGGTTAGAAGAACAACCAAGAAAATTCCCCCCAAGTTGAACAAGAAAATCAGCTTCAATGTGAAGATCTGCAAGTCCAATCATAGTCTCAAATAATGTTAATCATATATAATTAATGACAGAGACACATTGAATGCTACATTCAATTAATATATATATACCCTGCTTAAAGATGTATTTACATATATATACGCACCCTAGCATTCTTGGAGCAATAAGTCATATAGATGACAAGGTAAATTGTCTCTATCAAACAACCGAATGAATTGATGGTGATAATTAGTATTTCACCCTTCTTTATATAGGCATAAAAAATCCAAAGCATAGCACTGAAGAGTGCAGCCACATATGGAACTGATTGGAACCCTTCGGTTGTTTTCTTCTTACAAACTCGATAAAACGTCGACCTGCAAATATGCATGCATGTGTTTAGATTTAGATTTTGATATTAGTAAAATTGCTTTGTGAATATTAATCCTTGTTAAGCATCACAAAAATATAGAAATGAACAAGTGGATTAAATTAAGGAAGAAGTAAGGATACTTACACTGGTGCTAGAAAGCAAATGAAGGAGACAATGTTACCTACAACATTCACAAGAAATTAAGGAAGAAAATTATATTAGTTAATGTCTGGAACCTTAATTAGTTAGTTCTCTCGAGAAGGAAGACAGAGATAGAAAATTAGTAATGGAAATGTTGTAAAAGAAGAGAATGCGAATGAGCTTTCTGTGTGTAGTTACCTAGAATGCCAACAGCGAAAATCAAAGGAGTGTCGTGAGCCATGGTTTTGGAATATCCGAGAAATATTCCCTTGATTGAAAGGAGAGAATAGAAGGAAGATTTGAAGGGAAGCTAGCTCTAAGTTTAATCTCTGTGTCACACTCTGCCACGAATGAAATCAGAATATGGAGATCCTTTATATATAGGGCAGGGGATTTTTTTTCATGCATTGAGATATAGTCAAAGCTATGCTATTGCATAGACGTTGTGAAACTGTGAATCGATGATGATTAATATCCAAGATGTTGCATTCTGGGGTCCACAAAAGCCATGTATCTAACATTGAGTGCCAACTCAACGCATTATTGTACCGTGTTGGTGTGATGTAGTTCTTTAATTAATACTCGGGCCACCCCGTCACTTATTTGCATGTTACGTGTAGAAAAATGCCTTCTCCTTTTCCTTTCCCAATTCCAAACGTTCCCACCCTGCTCACATGACTCTTTCCAAATAAATCAATTATTTCACAAGCTTATGTTAGTGAGTTAAAATACATGAATAATTTTATATCTCATAACGTCTCCATTATTAGCTCCTCTTCCTCTTTCGAATCATTTCTTAGGCATCCTCTCAAGTACGAGTGAAATTGGATCTGGCGGGCCTATAAAGGCCTACGGCCTAGCTTATATCAGGTTAGGCTTGGTCAACTATATATAGACAAATAAAACAAGCTCGAATTTTTAAAAAAGCCTATTTAGGAAGTAGGTCATAGATTTATTTATTTTTACATGTCAGGCCTATAAGCCTATAGGCCAGCCTATATCATATTATTTGTTTTAAATAAAATAAAATAATATTATTCATAGTAGTACAAAATAGTGATAGCTCAGTTGGTGCATGTGAGCTAAATAGGTGGTAGAAGGACCTAGTTTCAATATCCACGAATATCACTTTTGGAAGGGGCATAAAATCTGTACCAATCTCTACTGTAGCATCAGAATCAACATTTAATATTGGAGGAAGAGTTATTGATACTTATCATTCTAGCTTGGCTGAAAATACCATCCAAGCTTTAATATGTGGTGGAGATTGGAACGTAATAAGTATGGCTTGAAAAAAAACAAAAGGTATAAAAAGGATTTTGTTTCTTAATCTTATTTTCTTTTTATTCTTTAATCTTATTTGTTGTTTTCTACATTTCCAAATTATTTGCCAACTTATGTAACATTGGAATTGTATTTGCAGGGGAGAGAAAATGACGAGAAGTTTTTGTCTACTACAAGTATCATAATGTGTTTTTGGAATTATAAAGTTATTTTAATTTACATAGTATGGATTGATTTGTTGGATATGATGAAATATATGTTATTTAGTTTGAGCATTTTTCTTTTAAAAGTGACTTAAATGTAGATTGTGATAAGTTGTTGTTGTGATTCATGGTTCTATTGAGACGTTGAAATTACGATTTTTATTTTAACAACAGAATTTGAGTATTTTGTGAAGTTGGTTCATGGTTCTACTTGAAAATTAAAAATTAGCAGACTAATAGACCAGACCAATCAATTGGTTATTCTATAAATGGATCAGGTCAGGCCAAACCAACAGACTCATACTATGCTATCGGACCAAGTCAACTCAGCTCACTTTCACCCTGCTCTCAAGTTTTCCGCCGCCGGTTACCTTCGGCTGAATCACCCCCATTATTGGTCACCAAATTTTCATGAGCTGTAGACTATAACAGGACAAGTGTTACATGGGGTGAGTTCATGCACTGTCACATTAGAGATAAGTGTTTTCTTTTGTTTTAAAATAATTGTCACTCAAAATTTTGTACAAAAATTTAATTAGAACAAAAAAAATATTTTAACAAAACTTAATTTAATTTGAATATGTTGCTCTCTTAATTTATTAATACTGTCTCATTTTATTTAATAGAGATATTGAAAGATAAGAATAAAGTTATAAAAAAATAATTGATGTTTTTCAATTTTTTAATGAAATTAAATAATTATTGTTTTGCAATGTGAAATAATTTACGGGTAGATCGAACCTCAGTGTGTTGTTGCGCTATATATCTCATTATTGCTTTTGACTATCACACGTGAACAGTTAGATTCAAAGTCCTCCTCGTGATTAACACAAATGTCACCCTCTGATTTCATGACTCTTATTGGTATCTACCGGTTTCATAACATTAAAAGGTGAAATTAATTGCTTTATATAATTTTGCAGCTGCTTGGTTAGGCGGTAAAAAGGGCGTGTGATTGGAAAAACCTAGAGATCAGACCCATTTATTAATTTACAAATAGAAAAAGTGATTTTGTAAAAGAAGCAAATCATGTTTAGTTGTATAAAATTAAAATATGACTTTTACGTTAGCTAGATTGAAAATTTTATATTAAGTTTTACTATAAATATATTTTAATAAATGTTTTATATATAAATTACTTCACTTCAAAATTATTTTTAACTAGAATTAAATGTTTTAAACTCTTTTAATAAATGTTTTAAATTGTGAGCACACACTCCGTTAAGAATAAGGTAAACTTCATGTGCGGTGAAAGAGTTTAAAACTTACCGTTTTCTATCAATTTAATTAGTTCCGTTCGAATATTATTGAACTCATATAAGGGGCTAAACATATACATGTAACTTTATTTGTGCTTTTATTATTATTTTTTAAAAATAACAAAAGAAAAGTCCAATGAGAGAGAAGGAGAAAACATTTTTATATGGGGTTCGTGAATTGTGATGACTGATGAGTGACCACAACCTTTATTACGTATAATTGGACTTCTCCGTGGTAAGTTCAGAGATTTAAAATATAAATACGGGGCATGACGAGAAATGATAACATCTTATGTATTGTTTTTAAGAAATAAATTTCTCATGTTGGAAATAATTTTATCTACTACACACTCAAAAGAAAATATGTGAGGTTCATTTTTTTTCTTTCCCTTCTCCTCAAATGGTTCCACATGAAACTCACATACTTTTATGTGTGCAAAAAATAAAATTATTTACTGTAACATGAGAAATATTAAATCCAAAAAGAAATAGAATATATTAATTTTATTTTATATTAGATGTATTTTAAAATAAAATAAAACAAGATATGGTATATTTTAATTTAATTAAAAGAGATGAAATTTAGAAGAATAAAGCAAAATAATATATTCCATTTCTTTCTGTTTCTGCGCCATATATCAAACTTAATATGAATGTTTAAATATTTATTACCTTAGGGTATCTCCCATGATTAGCATTAATTGCGTTTCACCATTTTTCAATGACTTAATTAATGACTTACATCAAAATTAGGACAGATATTTTTGAAGGTCAACAAGGATCAAGTGATTAGCGCTGTTTTACATGCACGTGTGATTATTATTTTTTCTCATTTGTATGGTCACTGTAATATATGTTTGATTTTTATTTTTGGTAAGACCATATATGGGAATTTATGTTGGTGGCTAGCTCAAAGACTCGAGGCGATTATTGGTTTAACAAAAGAAAATATTGACATGTATAAAAGTATTTTTTAAAAATTGGTGCTTTTATATGTAAATTTCATGAAAATATATGTGATTATATTTTGTGAAAAATTTCAACCATTATTCATTTATTAATCTGTAGATCAAGAATCAACAGTTAAAATAATCAATTCTTCTATTATGTTTCATAAGCTTACTATAATTATCGATTTGTTAATGAATCAATGAAAGATTTTTTTTTCATGACAAGGACTATATTAAACATGAAAATATTAATTTCCTAATTTCACAACTTTATATACATGCTTAATATCAAATGAATTACTTGTGACAGGTAATGGCAAAACAACTCGATTGACAATGGCTCTGGCTTCAGCGTGTAATTAGTAATCGGTATGTAAATGTTAAATGCGTTCTATAGGGTTTGATTTTGGCTGCCCATAGAGGCACACAAAAAAGGACAAGAACGAGGCGTCAAAATAAGTTTTTTGGTGATTATGATTTGGGGGTGATTGCTTTTATCGTTTAGTGCCTTGCATCTGTTCTAATTCATATGGAAATTTTGATTCTTGACGTCACCGAGTTCTCCATAATTCGGGTGACATGGCACTAAAGAAACCCAAAAGAAAAAGAGAGAAGAGTTGCATGGTCCAAAATTTTCTAAGTGGCACACTACGCGACCAAATTCTTTATTTAAATTTAAATTTTACGGGTGTCTATTATATGTGGATCGAATTGCATATATAGTTGGTTTCTTACCAAATTTCCATCACTCGCCGCATTTGATTGATTGATTATTTTTTTTTATGTGTATATCTAAATAGCAAGATTTCTGGGTCGGGTTTCCTATTGTGTGGCTCAAATGGCTAAAAACTACGTAGGACACCTGGAATTTACTCAAAGAGTTAGGAACTTAGGATGCGACGAGTTGATTTAAATGAAAATTGACAAATGCAGTATTCCTAGTGCTAGCTAATAATTTCATGTGCTTTGAAAGAATGCGAGTGCGACCCTTCATCAGTTCACACTCTTGTGAATCTGAATACTGAATGAATTGCTAAATTATTTTGGGATATCTGTCCATTTATTATAATACTATACAAGAGTTTTTTTCTTTCTTTTGAAGTTAAATTAATCTATAAGTGCCTGTATTTTACTTCTTCTTTTTTACTATGATTGAAGATGTCTTTGTATTTTAAAAGTTTATGATTGAATCCTAAAATTTTAGAAGTTTTTAATTCAATCCCTATTGTTAGAATACTGGTATATATATAGATATCCAGTTAACACTTTTTTAAACTATAAATTATAATTATAATTTTTTTTTAAATTAATTAAATCCTTGAATTCTACCTATTATTAAAGCACAACAACGGCGCTCTAATAATAAAGATCAAGTTATATTTTTAAATTATAAAGACTCAAGTTATATACCTTAAAAATACAAGAACTTATTTAAACATTATAAAGACTTACATAATAATTTAACCTTACTCTAACCCCATAGAAAATTGTTGTGTCATTAATTAAAAAAAGTCCTTCACTTTAGATTAGATTTTTTATTATTATTATTATTAAGATTGTCTTATCTTGAACTTGTGTTGAAGGGGAAATTCTTGTATGCTTTTTTCCCCCTCCAAAAGGCCCAATGGTAAATATGAT